GCTGATCGTTTATATGAATGAAGAAGAGCCTGAGGGATGTAAATGACAGAAGGTTAACTGTGAGACTAGAAAAAGTTGCATTTCCTGCGAAAATGCAGTGTGAATGCTGTGTAGTGGAATCTGCTGAAAACAGCAGAAGAAGCAAAACTATCAGCTGAAGAGAGTTGCTGAAAATGGCTGTATTTGAAAGGGTACAGTGAAGAGTGTCAAGAAAGCTGAGTGCATGTGCGGCAACCGCCACAGGCAGGATTTGAACCTTCGCCACCAGATCTCACGGCAGCTGATCATCCCACTGAGCCAAACCACTTTTGGTCTCAACCAGAGATATGATGAGAGGAAAAATGTGCACTGTGCAGAAGAAGCTGAATTGTGCTGAAAAGAGGTGAAGAAGCTGAATGTTAAGCAAAAAGAGACAAAGAACCTGAAAATTGTGCTGAAAAGAGCAGAAGAGGCTGAAAATTCTGCTAAAAAGAGCTGAAGAAACTGAAATTTGTGCTCAAAAGAGGTGAAAAACCTAAAATTCTACTGAAAAGAGCAGAACAGACAGAAAATTCTGCTAAAAAGAGCAAAAGAGAATGGAAATTCTGCTGAAAAGGGGTGAAGAAGCTGAAATTTGTGTTGAAAAGAGTGAAAAAAAGTTGAACTGTTAACTGAAAAAAATGTTGCCATAAGCGGGATTCGAACCCGGCCCTCCTGCTCTGAGAATGGCTGCTCATCTCACTGAGCTAAAACATGGGTCAGCCCGGCAAGCAAAACCAGTGATCACACTCGTAATGTGGTCCCATTCAGCAAAATGGGCCAAAAAATGGCATAAAAAGCTTAATATCTCAAAAAGTATAAAAGTTATGAGGACCAAAAGATATAGCAGGAATTAACAGAAGGAGCAGAACAGAGGGAGTAGTTAACCAGCAAAGGTTTGAGCAACTAGAATAATAAGGTAGAAGAATAAAGAATAAAGAGAAACAGGAACTCAATAGTGTGAATGCCTGTGAGGCATTCACACAATAAAGAATAAAGAGAAACAGGAACACAATAATAAGATCAAATGTCTGTTGGGTTCCAAGTGTTGTATTCAAACTGAGACACAAAGACTTATACTCATGTATTAATTCTTGTAATGTGGGATGCCACAAGTCAGTGAAAGTTGTCACATCTACCAGAGGTTGATTAGTTAAAACTGTTTATTTAAATCAACCAGAGCAACAACTAAGGTATGCTGCGTCAGCAGCAGCCACGATTCTAAATTCTGCATCACCAAACTCAACCCCCACCCCTTCACAGATCTCCTCCCAGTTGTCAACAATCCACAATGTACTTGGCACCAAAGTGAAGTTGGGAAAACCAATTTTGAAGACAGACAGATAGAGATAATGGAGTGAAACTGCTGAGTGACGTCATTCAGTTTCACATAATAAGTGAACTATGTACAAATAAACAAGGCTATCTGAAGGTCATGATCTTGACTGACAGCACTTTTTAAGGCCTCTGAGACCTGTATATGTATTCTACATATGGAGCCTTGGCTGAGTATGCTTGTGTTTGTGGATGTCTGCATTACTAATGTTTTAGGCCCCTAAATGTGGTCACAACAATTATTTTATGAAGGTCTAAGACAATATGCAGACTAATCAGTGACTCTTCTCTACAGGCATATTATCAAACTTGTCTTTCTTGAAGGGACAAAAAAGCAAGTCTTCAATATAAAAATAAATTGTAATCACCATTTTTAAGATAAATTTTAAGGTTAGGTTACAGGTTAGACAAGTAATGCATACAGTTATAAAGTAGTTAAAGCGTGGGAGTGTGCATGCACACACAAGACTGATCATTATGGAAGCTCAGGAAGTTGAGTAATAGCTATCAGGTCTTTGTGAAAGGTGATAGAAAATCATAAAAACATGTCCTTGCCGTCATATCACTTTTGTGGGCTGATTAATGACTGGCATTTAACGACCTAACCAAGCACATACTCGTGTGCACAAACACAAGCACGGTCACACATTACCCGAGGGAGTGCAAAACAGAACATGAGAAAACTAGAACAGAAAGCGCTTCAAGAGAGGCACAGGAAGTCTCATCTATTTAGGTTTTCACTTGGAAAATATCATGTTTGAGAGTTTGGACAAAATACTCTATTCAAATGTTCCATTAACAAAAAGATTAGAGGCAATGTTTGCATTTTGTTTAATATAGATGAAAAATTAAGGACACAGTTGGTTTAAATCATCATTTTAAGAACCAAAAAATGCACCTTTCCTCCTCTCTTTCAAATAGTTTATTTCTTATTTGACAATTCTGCTGTTTGCTCTTGTTAACTATGAGGTTTGTGTGCTTTTTTCCCTTGAATATCCTACTATATAAACTAATTTTGATATAAAAAGGTAGCAATTAGAAAGCACTTACAAAGACATTTAAACAAGGGAAAGTAAATTGTACAGCCTTAAAATAAGTAGCCTGGCAGCCAGATATGTATTATTTATTGCAGAATAAGAAGATATTTGGCACAAGCCTCTGTAAATCCATTATACAAACAAAGATGCAAGGTTTATTCATTTAACACCCTGCTTAAATGCACAAACACTCAAAAACATGCTTGAACAAATCTAAAAGAAATCATTAAAATAGTATCTACTAATGTTTTTGGCACCTTCTGCCAAGTCTTAAAGAGCTTGCTTTTTTTTCCCACGCTCCAAAGCGACTAGGCAGGAACTATCAATCACTGTCAAGCCTTCATTTCTTACTCTTCTTCTTTTCCTGTGCTCTGCCTGCTCCTGTCTGCCCCATAGGCACTACCATTCAAGGGTGAAAAATAGCATGCCAAATGAGTCACACACATATCACTATGGGAAAACAGGCTTTGGTGTGAGAGTGACATCACTAGCACAGCATGCAGGCTAAAACCTCATATTCAGTCAAGCAAATCTGAAAGTCAGTGCAAATGTTCCTAAAAGAACACAAACTTTAGATTCCTTCAGCTACATGAGATGTTATTCTCTGCCATTTACAGTCTATACTCAGTACATGTTATATGGCAGTGGCATATCATACCATCCATGATAATGCCAGTTTTATGTGATGGAATATATACATATATACATATATACACATATACATATATACACACATATATATATACACACACACACACATATACATATATATATATATATATATATATATATATATATATACACACACACACACATATATACACACACATATATATATATATGTATATATAGATATAGATATACATACATACATACATATATATATGTGTGTATATATATATATACATACTTGTGGTGTGTGACCCAGAGTTAAACAAATTGCTCATCCAAGCATTGCTGGAGCACTTGCTAGTTGCACTCCATAATCTGACAGAATCAGCAAATGTTGGATGGTAATCCAAGCCATCTGCCACTCACCCCCAACTGGTCGCGGCAGATGCCTGCCCCTCCGTGAGCCTGGTTCTGCTGGAGGTTTCTTCCTGTTAAAAGGAAGTTCTTCTTTCCCACTGTCACCAAAGTGCTTGCTCACAAGGGGTCAAGGGGTTTGACAGTTTCAGTTTTAATATGTGACAATATTGTGCAGGCTCATGAAGAGGTACAGGATCAAGTTACTTTACTTATTGTTGCACAGAAGTATTAAACAGTTACGTTACTGTTAAAATTTCCAGTGAAAACACTTCCTAGGTTACTTTTGTGCTTACATTTGACTTGTGCTGTGTCACTGTATACAATGCTGTGTCACTACTATTGCACTATAATGCTACTGGCGGCACCTTGTGGAAACAGATTCAGACTTTCGATGGCATCAATGACAGTGCCTCAATAGAAAAGACGTACAGAAAATGTCCTGAGTTTGTTCACACTTATAAATGTTGCCTAGAAGCTGCGATCAGTATTTTTTTTTTCTACATCCTTATAAATATCATTATCTCAGATTTCCTTGAAATATTGCACTATAATTTTGAGGTTGTATTACCCACTCCTAACACGTTGTAGTATTTGAAAGAAAACATGAGATTAAAGGAAGGCAGCTGAAGGACATTAGTTCAGGAGTGTGAAGAGTTTTACAAAAAGTCAGAATTGGAAGAGAAAAACAATCAACAAAGGTGAGGGGAGGAATGACAGTTTCTTTAATATCCGGCTGGCGGGTAATGTTTTCTTACATAGCAGTGTGCGTCTGTGTGTGTGTATTTTCCAGTAGTTCATTTCACATCCCTGGGGATTTCCCAGCTGTCAACAGACCATAGCTACATAAAAAGGTGACTGACAGATGGAGGTCTGGTTCAAAGGAAAGAAACCTAGTTAGTGTCTAATTATTAAAGAACAGAAGACTCCAGCAATGTTTACGCACTTAGTTCTCTGTACTGTGCCGATGTGTAAGTAGTCTTTTAAATGTCAGTGTCCTGTTAAAGCTAATGACACTGGCTCCTCATCCTGACATGTTTCTGGCTTTTCAGCATTCAAAAAAAAAGGAAAACTGTCAGCCAGCGGATCCACAGTGAAAACAGCGTTCCCACCCCAATACTTGCGTCCAATCTGATTTTAATGGGCCTCACTTCTTTAGCCCTCAGCTCATTTCCGCCTTTCCCTCAGAGCTGTCACTCACTGGGTCAGCAGGGAGAGAGAAAGCGAGCGCATGCTGTGCCAGCTGTCTAGAGTTACATCTACCCTTATGCTTTTTGGGTCTAATGGCAATAAACTTTCCGAAAGCTCAAAAGGCCATATAAAAGAACTTGCTAGAAAACAAACGCATGCATGACTGCCCTATTCTCACACATATACATTCACGTATACACCAATGCAAATACATGCACACACATTACATATTGACTCTGAAAAAGGATGGGGAGGAAAGTGTGTATGCTTTGTGTGAGCTCATATACAGGTCAAGATGATGTCCCATCTCATATCTGTCAGCACCCAGAGTTTATTTACTCGGTAAGATTAGCATTTGTTGACCTAGTCACATGATCTGAGAACGGGAGGTGCAGAACCCTGAGCACCCTAGAGAGTCAAGATCAGGACGTGATGAGAGACACGGGCCTGTGACCTAACATACACAGCCATGCACACAATCATTTGAACAATATGACCTCCTCCTTTTACTTTCAAATGTTAAATTTTTCCCATCATTCCTTTACTTTGACTTTTGTCACCCTCTGCTGTTCTTTTTAACCCCCCTCCCTTCCTTCTCTTCTTCCACTGGTGAATTCTTTTTCTTAACACTGAAATATTAGCCAAAGCAACACATGAAAATGCTTCTTACGCTCCTTGAATGACAGCTCTTGAAATAACCTTGATAAAAGATATCAGTGTATTACTTAGTTACAATTTACCCTGTACAATACTGACTTAGTGAGCAGAAACCTCCTCTCAGCAGATAAACAGCACCTCATCTGTTAGTTGATGAATGAAAAACCAACTGATAACAACTTCCGTCTCCTTTTTACTAAGCCAAAAGAAAAAATTCTTTTTTATCAATGACAAAAATATCTGCTTTTTTAGCAATTAAAATTAAATTAAATTAAAAGTTAATCAAAATAAACTGAGTCCTACGGTGCATCAATTCTTCTCTCTCATCATTTCCCAGTGATTAAATGGGCTTTACATTTCTATTACAAAGAGGAATTCCACCAATTTAACACTAGACCTGAAAACTCACTCAGCCTTACAGTACATCAGCTCTTCTCTCTCATCGCTGCCCAATAATTAAATGGTCCTCACATCTTTATCAGGAACAGGAATTCTACCAATTTAACAATATAACTGAAAAACAACTGCTGCAAAAAAGCACTAGATGTTCTGCAGTTTACACCCTCTCATTTACATGCTTTAACTATATTCAATAAAGCCTTAAAAATAACTTTATTATTACTTTTTATTGTAGTACATAGAATCTAATACTGGATCCATCATGTACATCTGACAGTCGTTTATTGTGACCTTATTGTATTTGCCTGTGTCATCCTCATTTCTTTCCGTTTTCTACTTATTTCCATCTCCTCATAGCCTTTTCTTCCAAGACTACATGGAGAACAATACTGCATTCATAGCTGATGCTAACAGTAAGCTCACTGACATAATGCTCAGATTGCCTTTCTCGCACAATTACATACCCACTCGCAATGCAGAAAACCAACACTGAGCCAACTCCTGCTTCATACACATGCATGCACACACACACACACACACACACACACACTGGAAAGAGTATAAAAGAGTTGGCAGTGCACACAAACGGACAGAGAACGGCAATTAAACAAGCAAAAACAAATGTCCAAACATACGTCATGCCTGATCTCCATTAATTGAATTAGTCATCCTTAGCATCATCTGTTGACACAGCTCTCAGCCAAGTTTATCTTCTTTGTCCCTGCTTGCCTGTTTTGCCTTTTTTCCTCATCCCTCTCATCGCTTTTTCTTTTTAGGACTCAGTTACGTTTCTGCTCTCTTGGTTTTGCCTAAAAGATAAATGTCGCACCTAAACTCTAGTAACAAGCAACTTGTGCTTTGGAGGATGAAACGATAGAAATGCAAATGCATGATTACATTATTGTTGGTATGAAATATTTGATCTGGACTCTCCTAAAAAGACCATCTTTGATAACTAAAGTAAATATGAAACATAAAAATAAACATAAGTGCCTTATTGTACACTTGGAATATTTGTCTTCAATGACAACAGCAGACAATCAAAAAGCTAAAAGCTAACTTACCTGATATGTTCCAATGCCTATGTGTTTGGGATCAATCTTCACAAGCTCAGCCAGCGGATCTTGGACACGTCTTCCAATCGACACTGCCATCACACACACACACACACACAGACACACACACACACACACACACACACACACACACACATAAGATACCTCTACGTCTCATGGGAATCCGTGGTTTGTGTTTTTCATAAACTTGGTATTTGACTCACAGTTATTGAATATGCAAATCCATAGTAGTATGCGTAATTACTCGATATGCTAATTGTCTGCATATTACTGTGTTGGCCTGAGGGCAGGCCAAACCTAATTGTCATTCCTCCACCCCCACTAATAATAATTAAAGCTGGCATTCAGCTGGAGTTGCTGCACCTGTCATTTAGCTTGCTGATAGACGTTTGAGCCATGAACCTTTAAAAACACCAATTTATCCAGTTCTGTGCCCTCTGGCAAAAACAGTCAAACGTAGCACACAAACAAATACACAATACTCCTCAACCAACGTTGGGTTTGTTTTATGACGGAGTCTTTAAGGCTTAGGTCACACGTCTTTTCTGATTTTCTAAATGACAAAGAGAAAAAATACAATAATCTTATTCACATACACATGGCATTTCCCCACGAGCACACACCGAGCGGAAAAGAATAACACAACCAATCAATTGTGTACTTACATAACCATGGGCAAGACAAAGGGGATGCCAGCTCTGGGCGTTACCGTACACTGTTATGTCTTTTCCATTTATATAATTTTTAAAAACAGAAAAAAGCAATATTTACATAAATATTTTTAGTAGTTTGAGTTTCCTTAAAAAATAAAACTTAAAAAAACTGCTATACTCCCCAAACTTTGGCATCACAACACAATTATGACCAACGATTTGCTCATCCATTGATCAATTTCAGGGAACAGTTTGTCCCTTCATTTGTCCTTCCTTTCCTGCCCTATCCACCGTTTTGTGTATGTAGTATGCTGCATGGGATGCATCAGATTCTGATCTTTGAGGTGGAAAAGGCAGACAAAGGGAAGAATAGGATGTAAGAGAGGGAGTATGTCTGGAATCAATGGTCCTCCTCTCTCTCCTCTGGCTGCGGCAGGAGCCTGCTGCCTGAGATAATATTTAGACAGGGATGGAGTTTCAACCCTAGCCTTGCTCAGTACACCACCAAAACTCTCCTATACTCTTTCCATTTATCCCGTCTCTAACCCCCCCCCCCACTCCGAAGGGAGGTTATTTGTAAATGGAGTCCAGCAGAACTCTCCAGCACTTATTGAAAGTTTATGAGCCAAATACAGTACTACAAAAATGGGAAGCAATGAAGAGCACAACAACTGACAAAGGCCCTGGCCAGACACATTACTCAGGAGAAAACGGAGACATCCAGCCTTCTGGTGAGACACTGATGATGTGGCTGCACAGTTTTTCTTGCAGAGCGTGAACTGAGAAAGAAAATGAACTGCTCGCACTCCTCTCAAACGTCATTACTCTCCATCAGATCACGAGCTGAAAAAACTTGATTACAACAGGCCAACTTTTAAAGAGATGCAGCATGTCTGCAATGAGTGACTGAAAACCAGTTTGTGACAGCAGTCCTCTGATCAGAGGGGAGACGGGAGGAGCAGAAATAAGTGGAACAAAAACAGTAATCCCTGGGAATGGGTAAAATATTACCTATTACCACTAGGTGTCCCTAATCTCACAATAATCAGTGTAATAAGTCAAAACACCCCCCTGCATACTGTGTTACACAGCCATTCATTTAGACTAAGGCAATAGCAAAGATACCCCCAAAAGGCAAAACAGACACACACTGTTATTCATGGTGTCGAGGCTTAGCATCCAAATAGAAATTCAGTAGATTTCTTGAGGTTTTCGTTATGGGTATAAATATGGCTCTCTGCAAGTGCTCTGTGCTGCTGACCACAGGATACTAGTGAGGAATAATCCAGCCTTGGCTGATTTATGGTTTTTATAGAGGAAGTCTGCTGGAAACATTTATTCTCCAAAACTCAGTGTGATTCCTTTATATTCTACTGTGTTTTCAATGACGTAGTATGTGCAGAGAGTTAGGAAGAATTGGCAAGGGAGGCACAGAGGTGAAGCAAAGTTAGGGCGACAGAGGAGAACCAAAAAGCAATGCCAGAAATTCACTTGAAAGCATTTTGCAAGAAAAAAAAAAAAAGTGGAAAATAAAATTGAAGCTGAAACCAGTGGACATACAGCTGTTCCTGACTTACCAAATTTCCAACCTTATTCATATTACTATCCACAAAAACAACACATTAAACCAGGAAAAATCTAATTGCTCCTTGACAACAATCAAGCTTTGCAGCTTGGTGTACCTGCACTCCTAAGGTTAGGGTCCAGGTCTGGCATTTCTTGGACTGCCTCGGGACTCACACTGTAGATGGATGCTCCTGCCTCATTGGTTATACTAGGGAAGATATGGGAAAGAAAGAAAAGTAAGAGTTAGAAAAGTAAAGGATGGCTTTGGGAAGATACTGGCAGAGATGTACAAAGGAAAAAGGGAAAACATACAGGTTTGACAGCGGGGGGAAGGTGAAAAAGAGGTGAGAAAGATGGGTTTGATTAGGGAGAAAATTGTGAGTTAAGGAGAGGGAGGAGGAAACTAATTAAAACAGCTATTACTACTTGAGAGACATCATCATAATTAAACATGACTTACATCTTTAATAATGTACTTGAAAAGTCCTTAAAACAGTTACTTTATTTGACTCTAGTTACCTCCTTTGTAGCCATGACGAGCCAAAATAGCATCATGACTAGTAGTCCTGCACCCTTAACATTAAGATCTCAGTTACAGTCTTTCAAATGCCTTTAAGTATTCTGACACTTGGCAGCAGGTGTAAAAAACAACTTGCACTCCAAATGCATGTATGAGTCACTGCCTCATGTACCTATGAATACTTAACATGTTCAGAAGAAGTTAGCGAGTCAGTTAGGTGATTGAGTCAATTTGCCCACTGTATGGTATGCACTTCAGGCAACTATAAATTCACAACCATACATTTTTCTGCATATATGATTCAGAGTACGGTCACTTTTCCACACTGAACTCCCACAAAAGAAAGTATGACTCAGTGGTAAGATACAGAACCTCTTTTCAGCAAATCGTGTGGCACTTCTGCCATCTAGTGGTAGTTTTGGTGCACTGTTTGCCAGCCTCTATAGAGTATTACTATAGACAAGGGATGTCAAACTCACTTAACCTCGTGAGCCACACACTGCCTATTTTAATCTTAAGTGAGGCATAGAAATGCTACTTCTCTTTCTGTCAGTGTAATGAAACATAACTAAACATTTAATCCCTGAGATGTCTCACCATAACAAAAAGAAGTGCAATTTCAACAGCACGCTTCATTTTTCTACACGATAAATGTGTGAAATTACAGAAAAATAAATAATTTTACAGACTGTCCTTTTTTTATAAATCTAAAAGTTTTTGTTCATTCACAAAAAAATGTGAAATTTATATAACATAAAGTGACAAACATGAACTTTTCTGTCATTTATTAGTTTATCTATTACTTGACTACTTTGGTGCATTATAAGTGTCAAAGGGGTAGGTCTATATCACTAGGGAACAAAAGGAAAAGCTGTTAATGTAATCAAAATACAATTAAAAGTTCAAAATGCTGCATTCATTCACATTTTCCAAAACCATGTCAGGACTGAGTCATGATGTCAGACATACCAAGTTTCAACTAAATCCTAAGTAATATAATTATTCTTTCTGCCCAGTTATCTATAAATTTAAGTAACATTAAAAAAAATAAATTTACATGTTGCTACAGAAAGAAAATCATTAGAATTATGCATAGGATATATAAAGTTAGAAAATAAAACCAACAGTCTGCCTTAATATTTCACATAATTAACCATTAAATAAATTTTTAACGACTCAACTAAAGTCAAGGTCTTTGACAATTCCAGTATTCTTGTTATATTTCATATATATCTTATAATTAAATTACTGGCAATATACGGTTAACATGCTACAAATTATACAATTTCCCTGTTAATGCATTCAGTCTAAAGTAGGCTGCTTATCATCCATCACCACACATGCAAGATGGTGGTACAACAAAGCCACTGATACCCGTGTTAATGTTGGTGACACACAAATGAAACTGCCAAATTGTTTAGTCCTCCTATTCTCTTGAGGGAGACTTGGAGAAAGAAAGAAGGGGGAGTTCCCTCAGGGCTAACCAATATGACAAGAGGGTCGTCCCCTCCCCTATGTCCAAAACTAAGGTCTTCCATAGTGTGCTCACACACACAAACACACACACACGTGTGCACATATACTATCCCAGAGGCCTGGACCTTGCTACAACAACCTTGCCAATTATAAGTATCTCATTAATGAGGAGTGGCAGAGGCCGTCTGATGAGAATCGCATTTAAATTAACTTGTCTGTTCACCCTCGCATTTTCTTTCTCCTTCCCAATATCTTCATTCAGCCCTTTCTCCATTACACTGTTCTTTGTATTAACCTCTCATCCATCGCACTGACAGCTGACATATCGCCATGGTGACACTACTAACGAGCAATGGCACATGACCTTCAAGGAGGTCAAAGCAAAGCTGGTCATTAACCTGACACACATGGGCTCGCGCAGAAACGTGCAGGTTTGCAGAAACACAAATTTACATGGTAGATAATGCAGATTAAGACCGAAGATTTCGCTTATATAAACAAAATCATTCACTATACCTAAATCTCAATTTTCCAACAGCAAATGCAAATGGCCAAATAATTATATATGTATTTATATACATATGAATGTGTATTTCCCAACCCTGATCTCTCTCTCTCTGCCCCCAAAACAGAGTGAGCAGGTCAATGAGGTGTAGCACCTACACCGTTTGTTTCTCAAGAATAATTACAACAAGAGAGAGAGAGATGCTTTAAACAGAGTGAAAAAAATGATGGTACAATGAAGCATACACAGGACATATGAAAGTTGTGAATAGGGTGAGAGAAGAAGGCAAGGCCACCAGCCCCTATCACGTCTGACTTAATTAAGCCTGCTGCTGGGGCATCTGGGTAACCACTGTCATAGATACAGCTCTGAGCCCTCATCGCCATAGCATCTATGACTGCAGCCATAGTGAGGGGATCGCCCTGGCAGCCAGCAGAAGGTCATCTGTGGTTGGATGGTGGATGAATGGACAGATAACACACACACACACTCACTCACTCTCTCTCTTTTGTATACAAAGTCAGTGGTTGCCTCTTGGTGTGAAGCAATGATTTCTGGCCCTGTAGGGATATCTTTCATTTGCATGTTCATTTGCTCTCTTAATTGTACACAAACATAAATATAGACTTGCCTTTAGCCATGCCCTTTCCTGGGGGAAAGTCACAAACTCAATGGTCCACACACTCACACACACACACACACACAATGACTGGCATCCTGCTACTCCTCAAGAAAACAGAACTGTTATTAGCCACAAAGCCCCAACTCAACAACTTGAAGAAAGTGATGCTGTAACTGAATATCTGTCTATTTAGATGTTTGTTGTTTAGGCCCTATGGTTTTATATTTCACTAGTCTGATATTTCTCTTTTTAATTTGGAAATACCCTTACACTTGAGATGCTTCAGTTCACATAATTGTTGCCAATTTTGGAACGTTTTATACCAATTTTATGCTTTTTTTTATAAAAGGAATCAATAACAAAAATCAGTAGACAGGCGTGCTTTGCCTCTCACACTTAAAGGAGCTGTAGCACCGACAGTCCGCGCAGAGTCAATTACCAGCAGGTGCAGTCACTATTTCAGTAAAGAGAGTAAATCAAGTAAAACATGCCTAGTAAAGAATATATACAATATATATATGTGTAAAATACATAATATGACCAAACGCTGATGAATAAATCCCCCAAAACTGATTCTGTTTATCTGGATATAGCCTTTTCAGTGGGAGAAATGATGAATTTAAAAAAGCATTCTGTGTGCTGCAAAGATTAAGAACTTTGAAATTACTGATTTTGTAATTCAGCTGGACAACTAACCTAAACCTACATCCAAAGCAGAGATATTTTTTAGAATGAAGATGAGGGATATAACTGCCAAAAGTCAGTCACTTGAATTCAGCAAGACTTTGCATGCTTAAAAGAGATCCCATATAGAAGGCGAGTGTAGGGGGCTGCAATCTGCTGCTTAATATGCAAAAGAAAGCAGCAAAGGGTACTGATCTCCAATACCTTTCTTTCTGTGTTAATGATACCCAGTCAAGCTGAAGTAGAAACCTTCTTATTTACTGCTTTACTTAAATATGGTAAGGAAAAGAGAACACAAACTTTGTTGCCCAAATATGTCTAACCTGGACAATGTTTTCTATTCCAGCAACTGTGTTTGTGTTCAAGATACTTGGATTGGCCTCATTTTATTGCCTTAGAATGAGCTGTAACATCAGATGTTGTCACCCAAAAATAAATTTGCACGCGCACGCACACACACACACACAAAAACACACACAGTAAGTTTCTCTGTCCCAGCTGCTCAAACAGCTTCGTTCCATTGTTCAGTCAGCTGCAAAGCTTGACCTGAGGGAGACAAATTGAGGGATGCGCCATATCGCGCTCTGTCCCGCTCTCTCTCTCCCTATCTCTCTCACACACGCACACACGCACACACACACACACACACGTCGGTTCTGAAGACAATGACATTTTTCACAGAGAAAAGCGTCCAAATGGCAGGTGTCAGAGGCCGTCAGTCTCTTTCGAGGTGCTAGAAGGCAGGCAGCCGAACGCACACACACATAAACTCCAACTGCCAGTGTGAGGCATGTCTGAAAAGAGCAAAGCCTCACAGACACTCACGTCAATCTGGTAGCGGGAAAGGCCTGCACTTGTGTCATACACAAAAGCATACACAACCACATGCAAACACGCAATACACACATGGCATGTCACACACATTCATCACACATTTTTGTCACACAAGACTATTGTAGGGAACAGTGTAGCCCTAGGGTGAAACGTGGGGAAGAAGGGACCGAGGCTGGCCACCAGTGAGCACGGTGGGAGGAGCGACAGGCCTGTGGCTCCTCAGAATGAAAGTGGCAGATATTTACTGTCCACCACCTGCAAATGCCAAGTCCTCAACCCAACCCAAACCATCTGTGACTATGTTAAGCTAAAAAAGTCCAAATAAACCTTCTTCAAAAAACAATACTGCTTGAATTATTTGTTGTTTTTACAAGCCATTTACTTCAGTAATGGAAAGAGCAAAATATCTCCAAGAGCTCCGTGAGGATGAAAAGAAAGAGAGCAACAAAAAGCTTCCTGCTTTGTGCCAAAAAGAAAGGGCAAACGAGATCAAATGAAAAAGCTGTGAAGAGCACAGAAGGTGGGCACAGATGTCACAGTGCTTTTCATGCCCTTTAGACTTTCACA